AAGTTTAATAATTTTTTATTATATGGAAAATTATTCCTTGCCACCACCCTGTTTTTAACTTAATGCTTTGGATGACGTTTATTTTATTATGCGTTAGCATTTACACTGACGGTTTCAAATTAAAAAGTATGAAGTAAAACATTGGACTATTCGGGCAAAATTTTGCTCTGTTTAATTTAATGCAAAAGACAGGCGAGTTAATAAAATATGCGTAGTGTTTTGTAAACTATTAGGATTAATAAAAAAAATATATATAAAATAAAAGAAGAAAGTGCAGGGCATAGACGCTGCGAGTGAATTCATAGTTGGCCATGGCTTTAAACATATTACAGAACTTTTTTTAATGATAAACGTATTATACGAACAAACTAATTGCATGATTCACTTCAATATTTGCTAATACTTTATGCTATTTTAGTTTTTGATAAAACAAAAAAGTTATACAGCGCTGCTGCGGTTGCTCCCCGTAGAGGTTAAAGACGTTAGAAATTGGAGTTTTCCATTAAAGATTGTCAAATAAATGTGCGCAGATGATTTAAATTGCTAATTTAATACTAAATTGCAAATCGCGCTTGTTATATACACAAATTATACAAAATAAATTCTTTTAAAATGATTTACTTGACGAAAATTGCCAAATAAGTAAAATAAAACAGTGGGCAGCGTCGACTGCGCTGCTTGGAGAACTTTAACCACTTGCCTTACTTGCTTTTTTAATTTAACAATGAATTTCAAATTGCTTTTGTTTTATATACAAATTGTGCAAAAAATATGTTAAAACAACAATTTTAACAAAATTTGGCAAATGCGCTGCTGGTAGCACTTTAAGCAATTGCGCTGCTTTCGCTAACGATTTTGACTGTGCGCTTACCTTAACTTGTTTGCACATGCGTTAAACTGCATTACCTTAATTGTTAACAGATTAATTAGCAATAGTTTAACACTTGATTTAACGATAATTTAATTTTTTCGAGCCCTTTATTAACACGCGCGTTATTTCCGGCGGAACGCGAATGAAAAAGAAATTATGCGAATCAGGCATGACAATGCTGACGGCAGCAGGTGGTTGCCAGCTTAATTTTCGTAAAATGCTTTTAAACACAATCTATGATTTAGTGCTAATTGAAGGTTTATTTTTAATTTAATTTCAAGCAATTAAATGTTTAATGTTAAATATTATTTTCTTATGAGATGAGGCCGGTTTTTGGCAACAGCATGGCTGCGAACGTAATTGTAGTAAATAAATTACGAATATTGTATAAAATTAAGGAAATTAGACAAATGTTTTTGCATGAGATTGTGCCTGTCACTACTAGGAGTACTTGCAAAGGAGTATGTATAATATAAAAAAAAATTAAATTAATAAACAAAAACTTTAAAGAGCGTGACACAAACAGCGTGGACACAAGAAAATACGTGTTAGTTCGAAATAATATATTATAAAAAATTTATTTAATTACAAAAATTAGCAATGGACGAGTTTTAAACAAATTTAACAGTTATTGATTGCATTAACGCGCAAAATAATTTGTTATTAAAACTGTGTATGTAGTAACAACAAAATGTGTCAGTTGGTCATGTCAAAAAATAATACTTAAATGGCTTTATTAAGTGTTAAGCTTTAAATTAAAAAAATTAAAAAATTAAATCGAAATAATTAAAAATTGGAAATGAATTCTTTTCCCCCAAATTCAACAGAAAAATATTACTTTGTATTTGAAGTGACAGTTTTTGGTGTAATTGCATATTAATTACATACATATGTTTAAAAAAATGATTGAAAATACAATGAAATATAATATTAAAAAAATAAATACAAAGAAGTCTACGAGACGAGAGACTTAACTAATTTGTCAATCTTTTGCTCAATTAAGTATGAAGCTGTGTTCGATTCAACTAGTAGTTACAATAGTAGGCATTTGAGCGAATCATTGTAAATAGCATACAAATGAACGTTAAAGCAAATAGTAGTGTTTACAAAAAGAGACATGCGAAAAGTTTATAACAACAAGTTGCTAAAGAAACAGGCAAAATTAACTGTATGCGCTAAACAGAGCTGACAGAAGTCTAAAATTGTTTCAAATGCCAGAATTCTGCTGATAAAATATATTGTTAAACAAATTAACAAAAAATTACAAAAACAAAAAATTACAAAAAAACAAGTATAGTAAAATACAGCAGAACAATAAATAAGTGGAAAGGATGTTGAGCTTTTATGCAAAAAGTAACGGTCACTGATGTGTAAAATGTCAAATAAACTGAAACAAGGAAATCTCTAAATTAGCATTAATTATTATTAACTATTGTAATAACAGTACATTGAATAGCCAATTTAAAAAACCAAAACAAACAAAGCAAATGAAAATGACAAACGGACACACACAAAAGTAATTCTAAATGTTAACTGTTGCTAAATGACTAAACTAAGTAAAGAATAAAGAAGAATAAACAATCTTAATACTTAAAGGAAATTAAATACAAAACATGCAGCGTATTAAAAATAAAGATTATATATTAATAATAAATGTTAATGCATAAAACAGAAATAAAGAAAAAATAAAGATGGACACCTGCGCGTAGAATCAGTAAAAGAGAATTATTTGTAACTGATTTAATTACAAAAAAATACAAAAAAAAAACATGAGTGTTTTATTTACAGTTGGAAAACAGTGTACTTTAAAAAAAGGCAAGTAAATACTATGGTGCTAAAGGAGTTAGATTAGATTGCTTGTGAGAAGAAAAAGTTAAACAAAGCTTAAAACTACTTTTGGTTTTGCAGCAAAAGTGAGGTTAGATAGTATTTGAGAAAAAAAAACTTAAACATGGCTTAAAACTGCTTTCGGTTTATGCACTAAAAGTGAGGTTCGATTCTTAGTTAGAAGAAAAACTTAAAAAAGCTGCATTTGATTTATGCAGCAAAATGAGGTTATATTGTTTGTGAGAATAGAGTCTTAAAAAGAGCTTAAAACTGTATTTAATTTATGCTACTAAAGGAAGCTTTGCGAAAGACAACAGCAAAAACAAATAATGCTGTGTTTTTGTTTCACTCTACTGTTTCTAAAAATCTGGCAATACTGCAGGTACATCGCTCAGCAGTAGCATGCAAAAAAAAGTAAGGAGACAGCGAAGCGAGGCAATTGATATGAACTAACTAAAAATAATCACCGCATATGTTTAAGAGTTGAAAAAATTATAGTTAAATCCTATTTGTATGTTAACTAAGAAAAAAAGCAGCACTAAATACAACTCTGCTTGTAAATAATTTAAATTCAAATTTGAATTTGCAACACACATTAAAATTTCCAATAAAAGTCGTTTTGTAACGTTACAAGTAACCACTACTCAAAGCAACCCTGCGCTCTACTAATTTGCCGAACGCGCTCCCAACTTTTTTCGCCGCAAGAAAAAAGAACAAAATAACACAAACAACCCGCAATAATGGAACAAACAAAACAGAAGAGAAATTGCAATAACGAAACAAATTCCAATGGTGGAACAAACGTAGAAAAAATGGAATTGAAGCAAAAACGCAATTTGCGCCAAAATCACTTTCTTCAAAACCGGAACAAATGCATATGAAATTAGCGGTTTTGAGGTTAAGAAAAAGTTTAAAAACACTAACTACAGTAAAAACCAAATTCAGCTTACCAACAACAACAGTTATGTAATGGTTGGGCAAAAGAGCAAAGCTGGAGAAAATTGATTGTAGCAGGTGTTAGCGACTAATATTACGCAGCATTTGCAAAAAAAAATGGAATTTATGCAAAATGAAACGATGTGAAATGAAAACTTGAAAAATGAATATGAATAAGTGGATGTAGCGTAAAAAAACAATCAACTGACACGGACGGCGCTACCTTTGAAAACGTCCATGTACGGTTGTGTGTGTGTTAATAATTTGCCGTATCGCACGGATTGAAAGAAACTAAAGCGAATCGAAGAAGAGTTGCCAAGCTCGACGATTTTTCCTATATGTAATACAAATTTTATATGTTGCTGTGTATATAAAGCCGTGTTTTATATGTAACGTGTTACACATATGACAATAAATTTTAATTATTAATTTGATTTGTGTCACAAAGAAATACAATAAATTAAATGATTTGATATTTGTTGCATGTGACATGGAAATCCGCACAATAATAGTAAACACATTAATAGAAGCGATAACTTACCTTTTCGTACAAGTCAAATAGAAAAAAAAACAATAATTTATTTTATATATGCTTTGCTCGTAACAAAGTTTTTTTTGTTTATTATGTAATTCAAAAAATTTAATAACATAATCTCAAATTGTCATAATATTACAAGTTTCAAAAAAGAGTACGTCAAAAAATCAACTGTAGCCGCAGTCGACATCAATAAATATTGGCAGCCCTGTCCGCGGCGATTTAATTGCGAACCTACGAAGCGACGAAAAGGCAAATCAAAAGAAGCAGCAGCAACAGCAGCCAACAGTAGTAGAAAAGCGTGGAAAAGTGCAGATAAGTTTCAAGTTGAATTTGCGTATAGAAAATATCTTGAAAAACAGACAAAAATCCTGACGCAGCTGATAAAGCGCCAGAAAAATTTCTGAAGCGCTCAGTGTTCGCATGTTAAGCTAGTAAATTTAGTTTGCTAAAGAAATAGCGTAAAATTGTTTGCTATAAAGCGGCAGTGGTTCTTGTACAGGTAAGCAAAGTTTGTTTGTGTGCTCGTTAAGTAAAAGAAGTGAATTATTACGTTAACGCAAAATTTGCAATAGATTACAACGCGTATAGGCAGGCGAAAGCAAATATAGAGCCTACAAAGACGGCGACAACGACCACCAGAAGAACACAGTGTAGAGTACAGGAGGCGAGTCAATAGCTATTATAGCAGCAACAACAACAACGACGACTACAGTACCAGCAACAGCGGTCGACAACTGCTTTTGGTGCTTCTTTTTTGCATTTTGTTTTATTGGCGCATACACCCGTCTTGGCAGTTAACGCAGCGCAGCACGCGTGTGTGTGTGTGTGGGGGAGAAAACAACTATAGGAAAGCCAACAGCAGCAGCAGCAGCAAAGGAGCACAACATTCAGATTTTCAAGTCGACTACACGGTGTGTGACAGTGCTTAACATTGAAATAATAATTTGTTAAAAACTAGATAAAGCAATAGGCGCGACAAGAAGCTGCAATTGATAACATCAACGCATAAATTCCGAAGACCTTAAAACTCAAGTGTTTAATTGTTTCACTAAAAAGGAGCTGAAATTGCAACAGCAGCTGAGAATTACTTGTGAAAAAGTGAGACTAGTGCATCAGAAGAAAAATCAAAAAAATAAAAATATAAAATGGAAAAGAGAATAGAACTGGAAAGACGCGCACGTAAAGCGAATCAGGTAAGCATTTTTGAAATTAATTAATGATTTTGTATGTTTACTGCCCTTTGAAATAGCTCACGCGCTAGCCTATTTGTTAGTGTATTCATTTCCAACCTTATATTTTGTTTCGTCCAAAGTAACGCCAAGTTCCTGTGTGCGCTAATATACTATCTAATATATGTATGTTATGTGCCAATGGCTTTGCCGCCCTCCCTTTGTTTTTAGCCACGCTTTGGCATCCCCATTTATACTTTTATAAGAAAATAGCGAAGTGACTGCAACAGCAGGTTGTCGGAAGGGTTAGACATTGGGTGCATGTTCCCCAAATATCAGCACAGGGTGTACAGACAATATTGTTTTTCATCATACGGTCTTTTCGTCACCAACATCGGCAGCAACACGGATTTAACTTACATACATATATCAAAGGAAATTAATTTGTCTCGAAAAAATTAATCTGCCATGAGTGCGCATTGAACCTACAAATAAACGCGCGTGTGGAACCGCATACGCACACACGTGTAGTCATGCATAGACGTACACATACAGGGCGTACAGTGTGTAGGCATATGTGAATATTACCTTTTCAGCAGTAACAACGCATTTAGGCTACCCGAGGGTGCCAATGTAGTCACGTATAGAGCACTTTCTGCTATTCATACGTTGATGGCGGCATTTATTTGTTTATTTTTAAATAATTTAGTTGTCCAGTGCCTTTGACACAAACTAAAATGTGAATTTGTATCAAGTAAAGAAGTTATAAGTAACGCTAACAAAATCCATAAGGTTAGGTTTAGCCATGCGATAATACAAGAGTACTATACACATTGGCATAAACTGAAATGTCTGTATGTATTGATTATGTACCTATGGAAATTTCAAATTTCTTTCAACCAATTAAAGCTCACAAGCATATGTCGCTCGAATCAGTAAATTTATCTAAATTATCTTCTAGTGGTGGACTATGGAATCGCTTGTAGTTATTAGGAATAGTTCAATTCTCTGGTATATATTATATACGCAAAATAGTCTCATATTTTTTGAGATGTCGATCTGAAACTTGGAAAACCTTTGTTACGAACTGCTATTGGATATGTGTAGCTGTCATACAAAGTGATCGGCTAAACCAAAAGTCTTGTGTGGAGAAATATTTTATTTTTTGACATTATATCATAACATTTGACTTAAGTCAAGGCTGCGTTATAATCTCTGAACAAATTGTTCAAATCGCACCACTACACCTGACCAGACAACTGATCGATAAATTCATGTTGAAGTTCTTTTTATACCCTTTTATTCTAAAATGCGGTCGTTAACATTATTTTTTTTTTTTAATGACTTTGTGCACAGAATAAAGGTCAGAGTATTCTATAATTTTTTGCATTTTCAGTATTTCTCAAAATCTTACTAACACATCTATAGCTGATCGAAAAATAAAATTTGGGTTCCTTGGCGAAAAGTAAAATGAAATTCTGCATTAAGTTGGCGCCTCTTAATACTTGCGCGGTTGTTAGGACATTTTGATAGAAAAACCTTAACGCTACTATTTTATTTATCAGGCTTCACGTTTCCTTATAAAGAAAAACACAGCGCTATTGCTTATCTATGGATCCACCGCAGTGGTCAAGTATATGGCGGTACACCAAGTCGCAGCATAACGCCGTCAAGTTTCAAATTTATGTCGAAGCAGATAATTAGTGGTGGTGGTGGTGTTGCAAATTGCTTGTATAGGCAGAACGGAAGCAACAACTAGTGTAGAATATTTACATATACATAAATGAAATAATATCCATATGTATGCTGGCTTGTGTGTTATTCAATGCTAATGACAACATTTCAACTACTGTTGCACTGTTAAATTTGCTATACGTCGTTTCTTGTTATTGTAACAAAATAGCTTGACATTACTTTTTTTTTTATAAATAGTTCGCTCCGCATATACATATGTTTGTTTGTATGTATGCCATGCCGTGTGTATCTCACAATTTCCGCCATTCTTTCTTCTACGCAATTCGCCGTATACTCCATATTCGCTGCCATCTTGGTTTTTGTTGGTTCGGCGATAACAGAATACCTTCATACATTCTTTGTAGAATTACATAAACTCTTGATTTGCATTACCAAACTATCTTGAGCATATTTGTTACCTTTTTTTTAACTAGTTGTGGGCATTCTCATTGTTAATAACGTTGTATTAGCTTTAAATATTGTCCATATAGCGTTGCATTTGTTAAATTGTCGACAGGTTGCTGCAGTTTTCTTGCCATAATCGATTTTCCTTGTATGCGCTGCTCTTTTTTACCCTCTTTTGTGTTTCTTGTGATGTATATTTTGCGTTCACACACTCACAACGCGACGCACTATAGGCGGTCGGTCGGTCATTTATGAACGCTTGCTCGAGTGCAACTATTTTCATCTTTGTTGCGCCTTCTGCGTTGGGGCTATTTGGGGCAAAATTGGATATAACATTTGCTTTCGCCAAACCATATTTTGATTTTCGATTCACCCACATTCAAAGTAAACGTAATTGGTGTGCTGAATGCAACGCTGTGTGGATGGAACGTCAATCGTTCTTTGGCTGTTTTATAGAAATGTTGGTGGCACGTTTGGGCATTGGAACACAGCTGTATGTGCGCCAAGTTTGTAACAGCGCGCTTTTCAATTTATGTTTGTTTCCTTTGTTTTTTCTATTTTTTGGATTGCATTTCCTTATTTTCGGCGCAGTTCTCGCTGGTTAACATTTCTGGTATGCTATGAAAAATCGCGAAAGTGTTGATTTTTTGTATTTATTTTTCTACTTTTGAGTTTTTATGCAGAATTTAAGTTAAAAGTAAAGAAAAAAATATATTAAAATTAGAATAATTACACTTAGAATTTTAATTTTATATGTACGTAATTTTCCATTCTAGATCACAGATTTAAATCTGGATAATTGTCGGAGTACAAGTATTGTGGGCCTTACAGATGAGTACACTGCGCTCGAATCGTTGAGCTTAATCAATGTTGGTTTAACCACACTAAAAGGCTTCCCCAAGTTGCCCAATCTCAAGAAACTCGAACTTTCCGATAACAGGTAATTTCGAATCTTTCATTTTTCATAATTTGACATAAAATATATATTATTATTTTAATTTAACTTGTAGAATATCAAATGGCCTCAACTACTTGACTACAAGCCCCAAATTACAATATCTTAACCTGTCGGGCAATAAAATTAAGGATCTGGAAACACTGAAACCTTTAGAGGAATTCAAACAACTCGCTGTTTTGGATTTGTTTAATAACGAAGCAACACAAATTGATAATTACCGTGAAAAGATTTTCGAAATGTTGAAATCTTTAAAATTCCTGGATGGGTAAGTTAACGACATGATATATGGTTGTCAAAAAAGTCTTGCGGTATTTTCGCTAGTTGGCGCTGAGAGCGCGTAGTTCTAGTCTTATTCGTCGCATCGGGTCATGCTATACCTTTTTGGAAAGCTCATTTCATGCGCTAACATGTGTTTGATTGATTGTCGTTTCTTTTATGTCGTCGCAAACATGGAGCAAAATAAAGAGAAAATACGGCATATTTTACAGTACTACTACGATAAAGGCAAAAATGCATCTCAACCCGCCAATAAAATTTGTGCAGTTTATGGACACGATACAGTTTCCATTTCCACCGCACAACGATGGTTTCAACGTTTTCGTTCTGGTGTAGAGGTGGTCGAAGATGCGCCACGCTCCGGAAGGCCTGTCGTCGAAAATTGCGATAAAATCGCTGAATTGGTCGAAAGAGACCGGCATAGTAGCAGCCGTAGCATCGGTAAAGAGCTGGACATGAGTCATCAAAAACAATTGTATAAACAATTGAAAATTCAATAAAAATACCGCAAGACTTTTTTGAAACCTAATATTAAGTGCTCCGGAGACAATCAAATAATAACGTCAATGCATATGTGTTAATGATGTTTAATCGTGTGTTGCCCGCAAACGTTCAAATTAACACGTCAAACATCAGTTTGGTTTTGAGCTTGTAGCGTACGGTTTTCATGTCATCGTCGGATGATGATTATCTGTTATTGGCATGTGTTGCAATTCTTATGAAAAAAATAATATGAAAAAGAAGAAGGCGGAGTGGATGAAAAACTGGTACCATCAGCGTAATAAGTTTACGCATCAAAATCTTTTCGCAGAATTACAAATATCCAGTAAAACAGATTATTGTAGCTGGATTATGTCTCATATAATGAATCCTTAACTTCCTTATATAATTACATTAATCCGGATTAATTCAGGAGTTAGTGAAGATAAATCTTTTGCCAATTCCCATTTAATCTTCAAAATTTTAGAGAGTTAACTGCATTTTCGTTGGCAATATTGCTAAAAATGTCCAATTTTAATCTATTGTGAATGAACAACAAGCAGCACTGACAGCCGATTTTCAAAATTTCAATAAAAAAACAAAAAGTTTTATGTTATGCGGTTTTAAAAATAACTTATTGATATGTTTTTGTAATAAAAAATGGTTTTGTAAAAATTGGTCGGCTAAGAGCTGTAACGTTTATCTTCTATCCATTTTTATTGAAATATACAAATTACAATCAGCTGTTTACGAGAGTTGTAAACTCCGACTTTCACCTACAAGTTTGGATCGGATTAAGTACGCAGTTAATCCGGATTAACGCTTATTTGATCGTGTCCGGGGCACTTTAATTTATGGTTTTTTTTTTATATTATAACATTTTACCACCTTTTTAATTGCTTTAGTTTTGATGCGAACGATGTGGAAGCGCCTTCAGAAGATGATGATGACGAGGTCAACGGCAACGATGGCGAAGATGATGGTGACGACGATGGCGAGGAAGAAGGTAAGTGCCAGTAATATTTTCAAAAATAAATGTGTACTGGAGTTTAAGCAAGGTATGCAAGGTATACGCAAAAATGCTGGGTTTTGCAGTAAATTGCTAATGTGAAAAGTATTATCCAGTTTAACTTGTGCAATCTCATTTATCTGTAATTCTGTAAATTTATCTTTAAATGTGTTAATGACAGAGAGCAAATTTTTTTGGACAGTGGTAACACTAGTCCGCTGTACTAATTCTCCCAGTTTGAAATAGCAAATGTGTGATTGCAAAATTTCAGTAATTTAATGTTTTTACTTGTTGCTTAAAGTAAAATCAAGAACTTTACTATTGGAGACATTCATCATAGGATCTTTTTCATTGGTCATCATATTTAACTACACACTCACGCTCATAATAGGTTAAATAAAAATAGAAAATTTTAATTTGTAAACGCAAAAAAATAAACTCATCCCAACTACCAACATTTTCAGACACGCAAAAAGCGTTTTGTTTAAATGGTATTGAAATTGATTTGGATGAGTTGGAAGAGTTTGAGCAGCGTTTAAAGGCAAAGAAACAGCTTCAGGGCAACGCTGCTGCTGCGAAAAATCAAAAGACTGTTGACGAAGTTGATGACTTAGATGAGTTGTTGAAGGAAATAAAATTGAAAGATGTAGCAACAAGTTCTAACTGTGATAAGCTATCCACGGCATCTCAGGCCACAGATGCAATGGTGGTCAAGCCAACGGATGCTGAAACAGCGAATGCACCGCCATTGCCTTTTGCTCTTATACTCTATTGGTTTTTAGCGATACTTAATCTGGCAAATGCCACTTTTTGTAAGCATTTCTAAACAGTAACGTTCATATTTTTATTAATTTATGAACTCTGTGCTTGTTTGATTGCAGATTCCTGCGATGAGGAGGACTATGCCAGCTCGTATGTATCCACATCTGATGTTTCGTTATCGGAGGTGAGCACTCATTAAATATTTATTTGTTTAATATAACAATTTTAAATAAATTTATTTTCTGTAGGTGTATAATGAAGATCTGGAAGAGGATAACTCCGAATGGGATGAAGAGAATGCAGCCGAAGATGAATTTGAGGATACCGATGACGATGATAGTGATGAGGACGGCGAAGGAGAGGGGGGTAATGCGTCTGCTAAGGGTAAAGCAGGCAAGGAAAAATCGTCATCCAATTCCGCCGCTGCAAAAGCAGAAACCGCTGAAGCAAATAATACCGCTACCGTAGATGGCGCTGCTGGTGAGTACACTCGTACCGAGAACAAGGCTAAAAAGCAAATGTTAATTGATATTATTCATTTTGTTAACAGAAGAGGATGAACCGCAGGCTCGGGGAAAGAAAAGAAAGCACGACGGTTAAAAAGTGCTTTATAATGACGACACATCATCGTAGCATTTGTTTACAAAAATCCAATTAACGTTTTTTCTACAATTTTAATTTAACAAAGAAAGATATAATAACAAAAACCACAACTAAAAACAAAACAACACATGTCTATATCAGTTTATACATTAATGAGAAGCGCAAACAAAACAGCCAGCAGCAAGTTTGAATGATTCAAGTAATACAATAATATTGTAAACACGGCGTTTATATTTATCAACAAAATATTACTATAGATTTTCATGAAATAGCAGCAACCACATACATACACATACTACTACTATTATTACAACAAAATAACAATAACAACCAACCACATGCAACAAGCAAAAACAATTATTACAATATTTATGCATATTAGAATATTTTGGTGGCGCCAAAAAATTGTGTATGTAGGTATAGAAGAAAAAAAGAAGAGAGACAGAAATCGAAAGCCAAACAATTGATGCAAACGTCAACAAAGGCAAGCACATATATGTACTTACGCATATGGAAATGTTTTTTGCGGTGGCGCAGCATCCAAGAAAAAAACAACAGCATGGCAGATCAGAATGTTAGTAAAAAATGAGTACATGATAATTATTATAAAGAAGAAAAGTTATTAAAATAGTGATTATTTTAAGCATGACCTATATAAGGAAGAAAGAAAGAAATGAAAAAAAAATTCAACGATGGCATGAAAAGGGAAATTTTATGAAGTGCAAATTGTACAACCTCTAGAAACACCAACAACAATAACCACACTGCAAAAGTATATATCCTAAAATCATAAAAGAAATTTGCCTAACAGCTAATGAGAATAATAATGTTAGCAGCATGTGAAATGAAGTGTGCTAATGAACATTTTTCCGTGTCTTAGCCGTAGAGCTGTTGGGTAATTACAAATAAATCAAAAGAAACAAGCAGAAAAATAACCGGGTAAGAAGTAACACCAGCCGGCGTATTAATAATAAAAAAAACAAAAAAAAAATTGTTTATTGTTTAGTAGCATTAATTAGTTACTTATACAGTAAGTTTATTAATATATATGTATACATACATACCAACAACAGCAAAAGAGAGCAATGCATAAGCAACTATTTCCTTAAATAAGACGTTTGCCTGTTTTTTTATTTCAATTTTTGATTTTTGCAGTTAGCTAAAAGTACTTTTTACATCTTAAATAAGCCTTTGCGTGCATTCATGCATAAAACTTTTATTTTCACAATGGTGAAACTATTTTGCTGTAATTTAGCACATCACCCACTCACGCTACACAATCAAGGCATCATAACAAAGAGTTTATGTTGCTGCAGTTATATATTTTGTTCTTATTCGCAGCTAAGTACATTAATTTGCGTATTTTTTGATTTTTAAAGTGTTGGCAACTTATATACCATTTTGTTTTGTTTTAAAAAAAAAAACATTTTCCCCGACCTCCATTCCTACTATATTATATATCTTTATGTTATAAATCCAAGCATATTTTAGAAAATACAGACAATGTCGAAAGCAAAAATATAGAAATACTAATTTTAATTCTAAGACATTTTCATATTTCAATGAAAAAACTTTTCGACACCGGACAAACTGTATTATTTGACCGAAATAAAAAAATAAAGTCATTTTAAAAGACTTGTTTTAATTGTTTGTGAGATTAACTGGTATATAAAAATGGATAAGAAGTAATCATTCGAATAATTTTTAGGAGTAACGAAGAAAAAATTTCTGCATTTAGCGGAGAGATATTTGAAAATATAATAATAAAATAATTAATTCAATAATAAATTTTATTTTCTTACTCTTATTTCATTAATTAATTTTATAACAGTTCGTATAACAATCTGTCAAAATATCAATTAAAATTTCGCCCTCATGGCAACGCTGCATGAGGAAAGTCTTCACACTTTTTGACATTTCTACAAAAGCTTATCATTGACAGCAGCGCTTTTACGCCTTCGCGACATTTATTGTTGTTTTTCTCTAGCGCAATCGGCCGCCGCAAAAAATCTTATTGGAATTTTAGTTCACCGCTCGAATCGAATTCATTCACTTGTTTGTTGTCTTGCATTCGCATACGCGATCGCGAATTTCAACGCCGTAAATTCTACAATTTCATTTCTTCTGTTTTGTTAAGTTTCGTTGTGTGTGGTGCAGCTACTTAGAGAACGCAGGATTTTTAATTTTTTGCCAAAATTGATTATTGCAACAAATGTGAAAGAAACAGCAATAAAACTAAGCAAATTTAGTTATAAATCATAGCGAAAATACCAAAAAAATCACTTTTCAAAATTTCATGAATCGCTTTTAACATAGGAATAATTTTCTTTTTGTGGGCATTGTATGTCGGCGTAGTGCAATTCGATATTTGAAATAAGAAATAAATTTTCTAAACTGCATTATTGCAAAAAGAAACAGGAAGATAGCTCCGCTGCTACCAATTCAAGAGTGTTATAGCAAGCATACGTTAAAAGAAATTGCAATAAATAGTTCTGAGTTTTGCTAACGACGATAAACAGTGAGAGATATTTGTTGATTTGTGTGCACACTAGTTGATGGCCGAAAATAAAGGAATCATGCTGGCTAAATCTGTACAAAAGCACGCTGGACGTGCCAAGGAAAAGGTGAGTGTAACCACTATTCCACAAATAACTTGTAACCTTTCAATTTGCAACAATAAACAAACCTACAATAACTTGTAACTTCCAATTTGCAACATTAAAGTATTTAGGATTTGATAAAAATACTTACATAAAATGGTTGTACCGGAGTCCAAAACAATATAAGTATGGACCTCATTCGTTCATTCCAGTGGCACATCCTTGACCTGCCGCATAGTTACTGAAACGCTGCGCATACATAAAACAACATCTATTGTTTATACCTATGTTGGAGTTCAAAATGTTCAGCATTTGAAAAGTAAACAAATATTACTATTTAATTACACGCTGGAAGGCGTTGGCCGGGAGCCTAGAAAAGTAATTGCTCCCGTTTTGGTGTGACAATGGGTGATTTAATGCAAGTTTGTTTACCAAGTACTTGCTGTACAATAAAAGTTCTAGTATTTAGAAGTGAATGCTTCTTTAAAATACATATCACAAGTGTATATTATTTTTAGTACGTTGGTATAACTTTATTTTGAATTCTTTAGAACAGGTGACAGTTCTATATAATATCATAACTTTTTTCGTACATACATAATTTTTTTTAGAATTTTTTAACTTCCAATGTACTTTTTATATTCAAACTAGGGCAATACAGCTTAAATTATCTGCAATTTGTTCTTCTAATAATGGATATCCATGCTTATGCTTTACCTAAACACACCAAAACAAACTTTTCCAAAAGCAATTGCTTTATTGTTGCTGTAGGCATATTACATTGTTGTGTTTGCGCTGCACCTGACCCATTTCACCTTCAACGAGCCGCCAACAGTGTTATTAACTCGGCTGGGTTGGGCTCTGTAACTCATAACAAGACAAGTACTACGAAACAAGTCGAGTTGGAAATAAATTTGTTATTTTTTTTTCATATACCATTACAGAAATAAATAATAAAAAATCAGCGCCCATGCATTTACTTACATCCATGTGAAAATGTAAATAATAATTCTCCTGTGTGCATAAATATTTTTTGTGGTATTTGTAAGCTCCAACGAAGCCATGCCTATCAGTGTTTTAAAAGCTTGTAAAGCGTAGCAAACCAAAATGTGTAAAATATCATTTTAATCTAAGAAAAATGCTGCGGAACGAAATGAAAGTACAAATAACTTGCTAAGATATGGCTTCGATAATTATTGCATTTCATTTCACTCAATTAACGATAGTGAAAAATGGTAAAAAAAATAATAATAAATACATTTTTATATATGTATATGTGCATACATGCATAAATAAAAGTGTAAACCACGAAACCAATTACAATAATAACAAAGCACTATCATCCACACTCCATCTGCGCGATATTGCGCGCACTTGATGCAGCGGAGTGAAGCTCAGAAATTGTATGTAGCACCTCATCTTCCAGCATGCTATATATCTATGCGCATATGTAACACCGATAAATGAGCGGAGCGCAATCCAACTAGCAGACGGCCTAAGAGTCACACTCATCTTAATCTCTGTTCGCAACAGCTTTGGTTCCGACAACTGTTGTTGCTTGTTACCAATAGATGTGGCCTATTATTGTTTTTCCTCGTGTTGCATTACGCTTTTTCTCTTTCAGTCATTACTTTTTATCGTTTCATGTTTACTTTTTATCTTACCGACCGGCTTGGCTTGTTGCTATTGCGCTTAATTCTGTCGTATTTTATTTCGATGCTCACGTCTTGACCGGTAACTTTGTCCGGTTTTTGGGCTAGTGCCACACGTAGCGCCAGCACCGCATTTAGCTGTGAGCACAGTGAAAGTCTGTATGAGTAAAATGAGTGTATGAGTGTAAAATGTGGGGGGAAAGTGCCCGAGCGGTATGGTATGAGAGCTTTTTGGTAAATAAACAATACAATTATTAAATTTATCATGTTTGAAAAGTGCTGCAGAGGGTTTAAATTTAAATTTTGCCGAATCTCCTTTGATTTAGTGTGTTATTTTTAATAATTTTATAAAATAGGCTTTATGATACACCAAAGCTATCGGATAACCATGTTTTCTGCAGTATACAGTTGTAAAATTGTTTTAAGTTGGTTATTATTACATAAATTGAATTAAAAAATTTTTCAAATTTTTAATTTTATAGAAGTACGATATTCAGTAATTCGTAAGGAGCATTTGACACCTTCATAAAACCTTTCAGCGCCACTTTCTAAAAAATATTTTCTCTTCTGTATGCAACCAGTTGGAGAGTTAACAAAATGTAGTATGATTTTAAGTTAAACAAAAGATACCGTACAACTATGCAAACAACAACAAGTTTAGCACTTAACAACGAATCTGGCTTGTAAATTATATGCAATAACTGTATAAGAGAGATAAGCATTGTAGGTTGGTGCTGTGGGAGAAGAATGCAGGCGGACTACTACATGTTTACACATGCTTATGTAAGTGTATGTATATAGACATAAATATGTGAGCACACGAATGCAGTGAAATCAGGTGGTTGGCTATGCGTTGGTGGTACGAAAGCAAAATCGACCTCAAAAAGGGGCAGTGAAGAGCTGATGCATTTTTTTTTTATATAAATATATACATTTGTA